CTCCTCCGGTAAGGGGCTTGCTGCTCTTCTTAGCTGCTTATAAAGAAGGTTATTTATGCTCTCCCTGCTCCTATCCATGCTAGGCTGCATGGATGGGCAGGGAGTGTTGCCCAGAACAGAACCATACCCCCAACCTAAAATGTAAGATAATTGTAAGTTATCTTTGACGATAGTGGTCCTGACAGAAATGCAGACATGGTTTTATGTTTACGCGGCGCGATGCAACGCAACACGTAAAAAGACAGTATAAGTCATTATAATCCATAATTATGTCCCCACTGGATGCAACGAATGCCTCGTTTATAATGGGTTTTCATGTTTTTGAATCATCGCTCCAGCCGGACAGGGCATCATCACAGTATGGTAAGGGGCGTAACATTTCCGTCACACGCTTGAGAATAATGTTATTTTTAGCAACATCATATGACCCCTTTAAATTACAAGGGAAGTTGTTGCTACCAGCCAGTACCATCCAGACAATTACTGAGGATTTTCAAAATGCCCATGAAATTGGACTTTCACATTCCTTTATGATCCTAAGTGAGAAACTGAAAGAACTTGGAATCGAAGAGGCCACTATAAGGAACATAATTGATTAAATTAACAGGGCAGATCTTTTTAAGATGTGTAACAGGGACATTTTGAGCACAGACCAAAAAAGGGAAGAGCTTTTATAAAAACAGTTTCAACTATGTTGAGCCTGTGCCTTTTCTTTTTGGCAGTGATGAAAATGGAAAGGAGTGCTTTGCCCAGTATATTCCTATCCATGAGACATTGTCCACACTGTTCAAAAGTGAATCTGTAAGAGAACAATATGTCGCCACACATTTGCAACCAGCAACTGAAAATATCATTCAGGATGTGAGAGAAGGAGAGGGATTTAAGGGCAATGAGCTGTTGAAAAAAGAACCTTCCTCTGTTAGCGTGAGCCTATGTCAAGATGCATTTGAGGTTGTGAACCCAGGTTTTAGCTGTTTATATGACCCTGAAGGACATTTTGCCTCGCAATAGATCCACAATAGATCACATGCAACTTGTCCTCCTATGTAGGGAGAAATATTTTAAATATTTTGGCATGAACAAAGTTTTTGAGCCATGGATCACTGATCTCAAACTTCTAGAGGAGAGAGGTATTTTGACAAATGATGGCAGTGTTGTAAAAGGAGTTTAGTTGCCATTTCAGGAGACAACCTGGGATCACACTGCATTAGGGTTTTTGTCGAAAACTTTAGTCGGACGAGCCATTTCTGATGCTACTGTGAGATCAACAGAAATGCATTTATGAATGAACCATACACTTGTGGGACTTCAAGAACTGCAGAATCCTATCAAAATCATTTGCAAGGTTTAGACACCAGTGATACTGTGTCAGCATGCGGCATCAAGATGGACTCTCCTTTTAACCAGCTTAATTATTTTCATGCTTGCCAGCCAGGGCTTCCGCCATGTCTGGGGCATGACTTGTTTGAGCCGCTGCAAAAAGTTTGGAAACCACTGGGGTAGAGGGATGAGGCGACAAGGCAAGGCAGGGCAGGGCAGGGCAGGGCAGGATCAGGACAAGGCTGACAGGACACGACAGGATACATGCGATGACAAACTGGCACGGGACTGCAAACACAAGGAGAATAAATAGGGAGCAAATGAAGAGGGTAACGAGGGAACACAGGATGAGAGCGCACGGCTCGAGCACTCTCGAAGCCGTGCGCTCACATGAAAACAAGACATGACAGGAGTGTCAAGGCTCTGTCACAAAACAATGAATAACCCTAGACCGAAGTGACAGAACCCTGACAGTAAACTTATTGGGTGTGCTTTTTTAATAACATGTTTTCAAACAATGGCATAGGTCCTCCTTTTAAATCCTCCAAAGGTTGTCCTTTACTACCAAATGTTCTGTAATACATGTTTTCATCACAATGATGCCAGTGAAATTGTGCATAGTTTAAGCTTGTTTATGTCCTCCTTTTAAATCCTCCAAAGGTTGTCCTTTACTACCAAATGTTCTGTAATACATGTTTTCATCACAATGATGCCAGTGAAATTGTGCATAGTTTAAGCTTGTTTATGCTTAAAGTCATTTTATCTCTCATCACACAGTCAAAGTTTAGGTACCCAGAGCTTGCAGTTTTTAGTTGTGGTAAAAAAACAAACAAATGCTATAGAAAAAAAAAATGGTTATCATCCCTGTCTGTACTAAATCCAACTATATAAAAATATTTTGTCTAAACTGTTATTTGTTTCTTAAAAGTCCTAGTTCATTACATTCAGTTCATACCTTCCTTTGTCAATTGCTTGAGACATTTTTTGCTGACTACATGTTTTCTATATAGCTGTAAATAGTTAATTTGTGTTCCCCCCAGTTGGTATATAGTGCAAAGGGTGAGTGTACTTTGTGATTACTGTTTGTGGAAATGTTGGAAAACTTGTAGATGTAATTTAAACAATCCAATCTAATTCATAAATATTCTGCCTTTTCTATAGTTGCTCAATATGGTGTTATCAAGATTGCTCTTTTTCAGACTAAATGTATACTAATAATACTAATATAACTAAATGTTTCTAGGGCAGCAACAGAAAAGTTAACAACTGCAAAGTCACTATATAAACCAGTGGTCCCCAACCTTTTTTCCAGGGGACCCCTATTTTAACATTCAACATTTTTAACAACCCCCAATAATAAAAAATAAATAAATAAAAAGTTAAGTTTAAAAAAAATGCAACAACAGCACAAACATTAAAATAATGACACTAACAATGATGGCTGGATTAAAAAAAGGTTGGGTGACTACAATATAACATGTTATCTAATAAAATGTATTACGTTAAACCTCACTAATCTTAGATTATAGGTATTTTATCTGCTCTGTTAATAATTTTAGATACTTTATTATCCAAATTGTTTAGATATTTTGAATGGACATTAGCTTATTTTCCATAAACCAGTACAAATTTACAACAGTGCATAAAATTCGGTCTACAAGAATTCGGTTTACAAGAATCTGTGAAAATTAAAGATGCCAGTGTGGAAGCTCAATGGGTGCATGCTGCTCCCGCTCTGCATACGCACAGCTTCTGCGCCGCCTCCGCTCTGCTTCTGCTTTACTCTGCTTCTACACAGCATTTTGCGCCCTTAAAGGGCATCGCAGAAAGTGTGTGTGTGTGTGTGGAGGAGCTCAGCCTGACACAGACAACAGGAGAGGCTTCAGCAAGCGTAATAATAGTTTAATAATTTAATATTACTTTAATGATTTAGAGGTGAGATGTTACCCAGTTTCAGTTCCCATCCCTGCAGCGTTTGTGAGTGCCTGATTGCACTGTGCATGTGCAACTCTCCACAGAGATTCTTTAGCCATTTCCATCATCAGCTGCGTGGAAAAAAACAATGCATTTAATTTAGATTTGCTTGCCTGACATGGCATTTTACTTGTTTGGGCAAATGGGCATCTTTCTTTCTCTCTTCATGTAATAATCTGTTCTCGTATTTGTAGGACTTGCAGTAGTTCAACTGGAACTGGTTCCTGTCACCTCTCCAACCCTCGTCCCCAGCTCCTTGAACACTCCTTGCACTGTACCTGTCAGCTCCCCATGCACTCAAGACAACGTTTTGTCTCCCTCCTTGCAGCTTGGCAGACCATGGCATGCAGACTTCCAGGTCAACTGGGATAGGATGCCAGCAACAATTCAAAAGGCAGTAGCAAATAAAACAAGACCATCACCAGGCAATAGAAAAGATATGGTGAAGGCAGTGGTTGATCAGATCGTGGAACATGAACCTAACCCAACCAGAGCAATTTGTCACAATATTGTTCGATACACAGCATTTTGCGCCCTTAAAGGGCATCGCAGAAAGTGTGTGTGTGTGTGGAGGAGCTCAGCCTGACACAGACAACAGGAGAGGCTTCAGCAAGCGTAATAATACTTTAATAATTTAATATTACTTTAATGATTTAGAGGTGAGATGTTACCCAGTTTCAGTTCCCATCCCTGCAGCGTTTGTGAGTGCCTGATTGCACTGTGCATGTGCAACTCTCCACAGAGATTCTTTAGCCATTTCCATCATCAGCTGCGTGGAAAAAAACAATGCATTTAATTTAGATTTGCTTGCCTGACATGGCATTTTACTTGTTTGGGCAAATGGGCATCTTTCTTTCTCTCTTCATGTAATAATCTGTTCTCGTATTTGTAGGACTTGCAGTAGTTCAACTGGAACTGGTTCCTGTCACCTCTCCAACCCTCGTCCCCAGCTCCTTGAACACTCCTTGCACTGTACCTGTCAGCTCCCCATGCACTCAAGACAACGTTTTGTCTCCCTCCTTGCAGCTTGGCAGACCATGGCATGCAGACTTCCAGGTCAACTGGGATAGGATGCCAGCAACAATTCAAAAGGCAGTAGCAAATAAAACAAGACCATCACCAGGCAATAGAAAAGATATGGTGAAGGCAGTGGTTGATCAGATCGTGGAACATGAACCTAACCCAACCAGAGCAATTTGTCACAATATTGTTCGAAGCATTGTAAGGAGCCATCCGGAATGTTTTGCTGATGTTGCAAAAAATGGAGACATCCTTGGAGATGGTTGTTATTCTCTTCTGCAGCAAATAAAAACTAGGGTGGAATATAAAAACAGGAACAATACTCTTGTGAGACGACGCAGAGAGAGAAGGCCACAAAGTGAGGTACCAGATGCAGGCAGAGGTATGACAAGAGGCCCTGTAGATCAGTATGGCTGTGTAAGATGGAGTCCTGTAGAATTACCTCCTGGCGAAACTGAGGCATCATTAGATGGCATCAAAAGTGATCTCCTTAACATCTACTCAGAGGAAGGCATGAGTGGTGCAGAGAGAGCTGAACCTCTGATGGAGAAGACATATGTCATCCAGCGACGCTGTCTTAATAGTGTGCCTGCACCAGCCATTGCAGTGGTTAAGGAGGAATACACATGCGTACCGAACCGAAAGACCCGTACCGAAAATTTTCAATATGAATACGTGTACCATAACACACGGTTACAGATTTTGCTATACCATTTATTTTGCAGTACACAAATATATCCGTGTAGTACTACTTAAAAGTTATATACACCTGACTTAATGTGACAAAGATACATGCATGAATGAGAAAATAAAGAGTGGGGTGTGCTTGATGTTAAAGAGAGTTATTAAGCGCAATATGCTGTGAAGAACTCAATGCATACAGCCGAAGCGTGCATACAGAAAGCACCTCTCTCAGACAGCATGTGTGCACAATGTTTAATAAAGTTATTAAAGGGGTCATATGATGCGATTTCAAGTTTTCCTTTCTCTTTGGAGTGTTACAAGCTGATTGTACATAGATAAGATCCCTGAAGTTGCAAAGACTAAAGTCTCAAAACCAAAGAGATATTCTTTATCAAAGTTAAGACTCTGCCACGCCCCCCTAAAACGGCTCATTCTAACACGCCCCCACATATCTACCCCACTATGTGGAAATATTTGCATAATGCACCCAAATGTGCA